GAATGTCCCGGATTTTGTCGCCGTACTTCATCTTCAGCGCGGCCAGGCGCGCGTGCGGGGTGGAATCCTGCGATCGGGAGTTCGCTCCTGAGGTCGCATCCCGACTCGACGGTCGGCTTGGCCTCAGCGAGGACATGCTGCTGACTCGTAAGTGGCCCGAAGGTGGATGACGACCGTAGAGCGGACGCAGCAAAGACCGATCATTACCGGTCGCATCCATCTCGAGGTCGGGGTGATGACCGACGATGGAGGGCAGAGAGAGACTGGACGAGGCAAGAGGCGCTGCGAGGGAGACAGCCGTCAGTTCAGCCGATTCACTTCCCGAGCGAACGAGGCTCTCACCGTTAAGCGCCAGGGCGAGGGGAGGATCAGCAACCGCATCCTGAGTGCCCAATGACGAGATTGATGGTTGGACTGACCCCCGCCGAGGTTGAACAAAGGCTGCAGGGGGCAACGCAGCATCGCCTCCAGCACCAGCCTGGTCGCCGTCCCTCACCCCATCTAATTGGCCCGACACGCTTTGTCCGGCCTGACCGGGCTGACCAGGGGTTGCCAGTGGCGCGCCATTGAGGGCCAGTTGGATCCGGCTAGTCCCGCTGTCATCAAGTCTCTCCTGTTGCTGTTCATGCTCATCTCCAGCGATGTTCTTTCGAGGATCACGGGCGGGTGCCGGTTTGCGAGACGGGAAAGACTCCCGGGCTACAGCTCCCAAGTGAATGGATGCCCTACGGCGATCCTCGCCAATGGCTACTGGGTCGCTCTCAGAACGAGGGACTTCCTTCCGCTTCACCCCCCAGCTCAGCCGATGGTGTCCCGCCGGTCGAGAAGCGCCGGTGACCGGAAGGCTTCCAAAGTGGATGCTATGGCGCTGGTGGCTGGGCCTGGTTCCTGAAGGATCCAGGTCGGCTGCCTGCTGGAGCTCCGACAGGGGCACCGGTCGACGATAGCCGCGCGAGGCCTGGAATCCCTACATATCCCCGCATTAGAGGCGATAAGACGCAGCAAAATAAACCCGAAAAGGAGGAGTGAAGACATCATTCATGTCACATTCTGAGGCACTGAGATCTGACCAATTACAGCGTGGTATCAAGCAACATAATCACACAGGCAAGAAACAACAAAAAAGAACAGGCCGAGCGTGCCGCTCGCTGGCCAGACCGCCCATCATTATCAGTAAAGAGATTAAGAATCTACCTTGTCGTTCCCTCCACCTTTCAACTTACTCCGGCTGCGAGCAAAGAATCCCTTGGCGGCCTCGCCTGCGCGCCCACCCAAAACTCCCGCCGTGTGCAGCAGCTCTTTGCCGCGTTGCTCTACTTGCTGTTTGTTCATCATTGCCCCCAATGGCGCCGATGGCCGTCGCGCGTGCCCCGAGCCAGATGGGGACAGATCAGCTTTACCAAGAGCCGCCAACTTCGGGAATTTGCCTCGAGAGACGGGCGCCTTGGCATCAGTGCTGGTCAGTTTCGTGCTCTTCTCGACCACATCATTGTGTTCTGGGTGTGTCTGGACAGTGACGGAAATCCATTGGTTCAGACCCGTATCAATGGTTCCGAACTTCGTCCGGGTGTCGTTAAAGGCCCGAACGCGTTCCTCTGACGTCTTCATTGCCAGTATTTCACGGAATCCAAGTAGTGTCGGCTCGACTGTCGCCGGGGTCGTGAACATGACTCGCGATGCCCCCCGGTCGGAGCCTGTCTGTGGACCCTCGTCTGCGTGAGAGTCGGGAATGACTTCTGCGTTGTAGACTTCAGGGAGGTACTGCCCATCGGAGATAATGCTGCGATCGTCCGGTACGGGAGGCACGATAGTGAGCTTCGGCTTCTCCGTGGACGGCGGCTCGGTTGCTTCGCGTTCCTCGACGACAGGCTCTGAAATGGGAGGTATCTCTGATAGCTGCGGGCGGTCCTCGGTGGGCGGGAATTGCCCGGGCATGGGCACGGGCGGGGACTGAACGCCTGGATCGGGTGCAGCCTCGCCAGAAGACGAAGATTCCCAAGAGAATCGCCTGGTCAGCTTCGGCTTCGAGGCTGGCGCTGAAGGTGTTGGTGCGGCAGTGAGAGGGTTTGGTTGTGTGGGCGTATCCTGAGGGGCAGATGAGGGACTCCCGTAATCAGGAGGTTGGTCACCGTCGCGAGAAGTGGGCAAGGCCTCCTTCGTCCAGTAACGCTCGTATTCGTCCAGCATAACACTGCTGTCCTGTTGCGGTGCTTCCAGGCGGCGCTCATCTTCATGGTCTGGATCTTCCGACGGGGTGTTCTCCCGGCTCAAAGAACGAATGATTTCCTTCCGCAGCCGATCACTCTCCGTGTCCTGGGGCGAGTTGTCTGTACTGAAGGATGGAATGATTACTGGGACACCGTCCCCAGTGGTGATTGTAGGTTCGGAGGGAGGATGGCTGGTACCAACGCTAAGTGGCGCGGGAAGACCGTCGCCAGCCTCTGGCAATTGCACCGTTGCTTTCTGCGGGCTTGCAATAATGTTCTGGGGCGAGTCTGGAGTGTTCGAGGCCATTTCCCCGACCGCAGACGGCGCAGTTCCTTCGACGCTAGCGATAACCGGTGTTCTAGATGGGCTATTATTTGGGCTAGGAAGGCTCAAATCTCGACGGTGGCCGGGCTTGAACACCATGTTTCCTGGTTCTTCTTTGGGTGTCGAGATGGTTTCGGGTTCTTCTACAATCGTAGGAGTCTTGGTCTCGCTCGGGTTGTGCTGGGGTATAATCGGGCTAATCACCGAGGTGCTATCGCTGTTAGACCGAGCAATGCTGTCCACCGTGGTGCTTGGGGTCTCCACATCGAAAGCCTGGTGAACAACCGACCGGAATCCCAAAGAAGGATTGTGCTGTAGTGTATGTTCCTGACCCTCCGACTCCGGATTTATCTGGGCGTTAGAATGGGGTCCGAGTGAGAGATCAGGATTAAATCCAGAAAGACGTTTCATATCTGGTAGCTGGATGACGGGAGGCTCATGTGTAGATGCGTCAGCAGGACGGGAGCCGTGGGGCGTACTTCCAGCATCTGATGGCCTCTCAGTAAGGTCCTGGGCCGGGTGGAGTATGTGATCGCCGGGAGATGCCGCTGGTTGTTGTTCGTGAGAGGTCGACGCAGTATCCTGAGACACTGGCGCTCCAGGTGGCGCCGCACCCGGGTTGTCAACAAAATATCCGGCCTCAGATGCCTGCTGTCTAGCAGCACTTTCCGCTCTCATCCTCTTGTAGATCTCAGCCGGGCGCACAATAGGGACAGTCCGGTTGTTATTTGGAGCGGCCGCCATGCGGTCTGCAGAGAGGCTACGATGCGCTCCAGCACCAGCTGCATCTAGTGTTGCCACCTGATCCATGGATCTCGACCGATCTGCTGAAGGTAGGGGTGGACGAGACACGTCTCTCGTGAACATGCTAGGGATATCTCCGGTGCTTTGGTTCATGCTGGGAGGCTGCGGAACAGGCGGAGTCTCATCCTCATCATCATACTCGCCGTACTCATCATCTCCCCAATCATTCCCATCGTACGAGTACTTTTTGGCCTCGACCCAACGTTTCGTTTTCGCCCGATTCACATTCGGTTTGAAGGATAGCGGGGTGCCGCCGCGTGGATAAGGAGAGCTTGGGCTATCGGAGGACGTTGAGGAGCTGGACCCAGGGCAGAGTTAGTTACGTGCGGGGACCTGCAAGTAAGATATACGCATGGCCTACAGTTTGTGAAGCTCCGGCTCGTAAGGCTGGAACTGGCGTGCCATTGCTGACTAGTCTGACCGTGTCAACCCGACTATGAACATTAATCGAATAGTCGGTGTAAGTGCCCGATCGGCATATCACATGCAAAAGACCTGGGTTGAGAGGTGTATGGAGGAAGCGACCGTGGATGCGAAGGTGCTGCGAGGTTGAACGGAAGACGCGGGAGAACGAGAGAGGATGGTTGCACCAGATGACGTGGGAGCAAGGATGGCGATGACAGCCCAAGCCACGGGGCAGCGCAGCAGCGGCGTTACGTGGAATGGGGGTTATTCTTAGCAGCGAAGGAAGGGATGGGCGGCGTCTGATCGCGATCAGAATGGGGACGGAGGCACACGAGTCTGGGGGATGGGGTACGGAAGGGAATTGAATGAAGTTAATCGCCAGCGGGATAAGATAGGCTGATTGCGATGTGCCCCTGAGACTCCATCGGGATCTAATAATGAGAAAGAAGCTCTACTCCTTTCAGTTAAGCTGCTGGACCGGTTTGGGAGCCTGACGCCTGGGGCACCAGGTGGCTGGTGCTGCCCCTGTGGCTAGTGACAAACTGGGGTGGCTGGGGCGCACGTGGCTGAGCCTCCGCCTTTCCTATTACGGACGGAAGACGGGCTGGCGACGTCGGCTTCTCGCTCGTCCACTCTCTCTCCATCTTCTCTCCCCGTGCCTCTACGGTGGTCGATGCTGGTCTCGGTTGATTGATATGGCCCTTTTGTAATCCTCCCACTTTACCTTCAATCTGTGCCTCTCCGCTCTCTTTCTTTCTTAAGCTGTACCGCCACCACTCAACGGACACGTCTTCAGTTGCCTCCTTATCGATTAGATCGACTCCGTGGAATCTCACGTTGCGCATTCGTTCTGCATTCGGCTATACCCCTGTACATCTTCGCCTGCATTGCGACCGACTACCAACTTCTCGTTCTTTCGCCTAATTCCTATTGATCCTACATCTACCTACACAATGACCGGCCCGTCCATCCAAGATCGTACCGGCGAGTTTCACGCCATTCTGGGTCAAGCCCAGAAGCGCATGGCCGCCAACAAAGCCAGTTCACAGCGCCAGGCTCTTTTGACAGATGCGCAGCGGAAACAAGCAAACGGTTCCGCAGACGGGCAGGGTGGCAAACGACGATCGGAGTTTGCCCGGAGAGCTGTGGAAATTGGACGAGGCATCACGGCGACGACTGCGAAGCTGCAGAGACTGGCCGAGTGTGAGTGACTTTTGGACGGTCAGATGAATGGCGCTAATATTATTCGCAGTGGCCAAGCGAAAGACACTCTTTGACGACAGACCGGTTGAGATTTCCGAGTTGACGTTTGTGATCAAACAAGATCTCGCCTCGTTGAATCAGCAAATCGCCTCGTTGCAAGCGCTTACTCTTTCACAACATCCTAAGAGCAATCGGTCGAAGGCGGACCAGGAAGGAGAGCATAATGACAATGTACGTGCGACCAATATAAAGACCGGAATGAAGCTAATGGGTTTAGGTGGTTGTCATGCTACAAGGAAAATTGGCAGATGTGGGAGCCAACTTCAAAGACGTCCTTGAAGTGCGCACAAAGAACATCCAGGCCTCGCGATCCAGAACCGAGAACTTTGTCTCCTCAGTATCCTCAAAGACACATTCTGCCCTCGATACGCAGCGCTCCGATTCCCCACTTTACAACACATCTGGACGGCGGACGCCCCAGCCGGGCGGCGCTTCCGATCTACTGACTCTGGAACCCTCGAACCCGTCTCCACTCGGCCGCCCCTCCATGCACTCAGATCAGCAACTACTGGTCATGGAGGAAGCCCAGACGAGCAACGCCTATATCCAAGGGCGTGGTGAGGCAATTGATGCGATTGAACGCACCATCAGCGAGCTGGGTGGTATCTTCGGCCAGCTTGCGCAGATGGTCAGCGAGCAGTCCGACATGATCCAGCGGATAGATGCCAACACGGAAGACGTGGTGGATAACGTGCAGGGAGCGCATCGCGAGTTACTGAAGTACTGGACGCGGGTATCCGGGAACCGATGGCTCATCGCCAAGATGTTTGGCGTTCTAATGGTAAGCTCATCCCGTAACTTGGTGGTCGAATGGCAGCTAACTTGTGCAGATCTTCTTCCTACTCTGGGTGTTGATATCGGGATAGACACACCCATTCTTTTCTATTATACTGTATTAATACTGGTTCATGTTCGTCCTGCTGTGCTGAACGAATAATGCAACCGTTTCGTCGCTTAGCCTTGCATTCTTTGTCTCCTACCTTGTTTGGCCGTGGCTAGATCTGATGATCGATCTTCTACTATTTACTTTATGTGCTTCGGATGGCCTGATGTGAATACGGTCCATGATTGACTAGATCAATTTATTCATTCCATTGTTCATTCTTCTTGTCGTGTCGACATCATTCATTGGCTGCTGAGTCTATTCAATAAGTTTTGGATAGATGAAGCAGATGGATGACATCCAGTGCATTCCGATGCTATCATTCCCCTAAGAACAACTATTCACCTATCCCATAGTATATATAAGCTTCTTTCGTTCCTTCTCTTCTCTTCTTCTTCCTGAAATGATTTCTTTAAACTCACAAAATAAGCCCACCCTATCTATACTAGATAAAAGTTCAAAAGATCCCAGATAAAATGCTAGCTTCCGACTTTTTGGATGGCCTATCAACTACTATATTCTCAAAGCCTAGTCTATCCTCATGATACAATGGAACCCTAACCACCCCGAATCATGATAAAGTAGAGGCTCCAAGAAAAGTATTCCCCTCTACATCAATGAAAGAACCTTATCTTTTGAATACTATTCGTATTCCATGCCGTCTACTATGAAACAACAAGACACCAGATAGCCCGTCTGAAGCTTCACTCGATCTTCATGATTCCACAGGGGAAGGGGATAGTATCTACTACTACCACTACTACTACTAGCCATACCAGAGGTATACCAGAAGTAAGCGTCAACACCAGTACCTTGCGAACATGGATAACCTAATACATTACGATTTAAAACAGCTCATGAAACGAATGACCCTACGCCGCACAAACAGGTCTCTACAGAAGTCTGGAAGTAGCGGCTAGATGGAGGAGCTGCTAAAACCCGAAGCCGAGTAGAACGGTCTGGGATAATATCATAATACCAGCAACGGCTCCAGATTATATTCCATACAATCCAAGGGAACGGCCAACATACTGCCGTTGCTTCTTATATGGCCATTGTCTCAGGCTGGATGGCCACAAGATAGACAATGAAGACTTCCAATAAACGCATAATGGATCCAATCAAGCAGCCTCTTTTCAAACCAATACATCATTCTGTCTATGTGACTTTGTATTCCTGGCACCAGACTCGTTGGTGTTGAACTAACAATGGCAATCGTTTGTGAAGCTCACTAGCCCAACCAGGGCGTTCGAAAGCGCGGCTATGTTCAGTACTGATCCCCGCCTGTTCTTTGGCCAAGGCGCATATATTACGCTGTCGACGACCGAGATGCGGGAGATTGACGCTAAGCTCGGCCGCCACGGACTGGAGAATCAGTACCATGACGTGCAAGCTACTCCCCAGGAGCACAATGTGCGATCGTCACCGAGCACCAGCAGTCGGACCACGGGCGACGACGAGTCGGTGCCGTCGGAAACCGAGCCGGAGGACATTGACGATTTTTCAGACGACATGGTCCTGCACGAGCCGAAGGCGAAAGGGGACTGAGCAACCAAACAACTTACGATTATTGATGAGACATCTGAGCCACCCCTGCTGCTTGGTGGCCATCGATATATCGTTTTGATCTACTTGGCAGAAGTCGGTTTTGACAATCATGGTACTCTTGCGCACGGCCATGCTGGTGGAAAGATACGGAAAGGGGAATGACCTCCACGGACCAGCTGACCATTCATCAATGAATCGGGGAGCTTTTGTTACAAAGAACTCGTTGACTGGACACTGTGCATGAACTAAAATTCCGAACTGATCTATAAGAATGATGAGCACGGCGAACAACCTTGGCCTGAAGTCGCGAGCAGGACAAAAACTGGGATTCAAGGGTTCATGTACAGGACGAGCCCACCAAGACTGTTAAGGTAGACCACCAAAAACCCCTGCTGGTCAAGCTTGGAAAGCAAACGTGGGCTCTGTCAGGCCTCTCCCACTTCCTCCATCGTAAGCAATTCGAGAATGACACCAAGAAGGATCCGTCTGGATCCTTGTACCACTCGCGCAAAGCCGAGCTGGGGATTGCACTGGCTCAAAGTCTCATTGACAGAGGCTGTCCCGATGTCTTTATCATATCACTGTGTAAGCCCAGGTGGCCTTGGTGAAGAAGTTATGGGAGCAGAGGCATCCTAAATTGGAGTAATTGGGAACGGACCAAGGACATCGTGGCGGAACTTGCTAGTAGGAAAGAAAACGGAGAACCTCACCCAGTTACTGAATGAATATGGCTTGCCAAGTCATCGGCTCTAGACTGGCTCAATTGGAATCTCAGAAGAAAGGAGACTCCGATGGCGAAGCCGACGCACTCTCTGAACCCTCTTCCATCCCGGCTGCCGACGAGCCTGTGCCCCCCACCGACGGAGTTGATGGGGTAGCGTTAGATTGTCAATATCAAGATACCAGCGGGCGGTGGTGATTGCCATAACGGATCGAAAAGACACCTTCATCCCACCCCTTTTTTCCCCCAACACCTCTAACATCCTTTTTGGAGTCTACGCATCTTGGAGGGTTTTGTATCGTCCTTTCCAGTCGGACACCGTCTGTTGTTTGGGGAATGACGTGGCTGGCACCGTCTGTGGTCGAACTGGTGTCTTGTGGGTATGGTTGATTGCACGCTTCTTCATACACACGGGTCTATTTCCTATCGGGGTTCCCTCCTGCTCCTCAGACCATAAACTTTCGCCAGTTATCTCGAGGTAGGGCTTTGGAACAAGCTTGGATGTTAAATCTCCATAATGACGCATCTTATATTTATGGCGTTACCAAATAGTCTGACCAAGGGGGCAATACCACTTCCACTGAGAAGCATGCATGCTAAACTCGGCTTAGAACTTCATTGACGCTTTGGACAGTTCAGCTTGCCTAAAACCCTATGTACCTACAGAAAGAGCACCCGATTGATCATAATTTCTCTCAACTGTCAAGGTAGAAGTGTGTCTGCTACCTAGGTCTCTATACCTGATCCTCGACCTGCCACACCAATGGCCTCTGATGCGTACGATCACGATCGGAGTAAAGACGTCAAGTACAGAATCATGTCTGCAATTGTCGCCTATTAGACATTGACTGTTGATTAATTCCGTCCCAAGAAAGCCATATGGCGCAGCATATGAATGGACTGGTCTATACTATCACGCCTTTTAAGGTTGCCCATTCTAGGGCTACCAGGTTGTGAGAAATCATACGCATTCGGGCTCGTCCACCACAATCAACGTTCAGCCGAACGATGACAACTATAACATGATGTCTGTGGCCGAATTTATTTCGCATGTCTCTTATCGCCGTGGAGAATATGAGCATGGCTAGGGAAGTTTCCAACCCACCTGAGCTTGGAGCTCTGTATAAGCTCAGGAATCATGTCCTAGACAGTGTTAGTCTGTCCTGAACAAATCCTAAGGACACCGTGTCTTAGAAGGTCGAAGTAGACCTCGAGTATTGCTTTTCTCGCTTTGTTAATGCTGAGGAATAGCGTAAAGACTACCTACGACGAAGATACCTGGTAACGGTGCACGGTGAGTAAAAGGTCTGGCTGTGTGGTGGGCCCCTGCCCAAAGAAACACCAGACATGGCATCGTGCGGTGGTCCGATCCATAAGAGCAGCTCCCTGCATGAGATACTGTGGTAGAGGAAGTCAAAGGCCATTTATTGCGTCATGGCAGCATAGATGAATCGGGGACGACAAACTACCGCCCCAGCCAAGGCACATAATGAATCTAGCAGTAGGTGGGAACCTGCAGTCCCCGCTGCCAAGTCCTGTGTTAACTGCCGGTGGCCTCGGGCAGAAGACTCTGAGGAGCAGCGGATAGTCATGAGGAACTGACGATGCCGTGCAGGAGGAAAAGGCGCACGCTACCAAGAAAACTTCTGCTGCGGAAAAGCGCACCTAGCGCTTGGGGTGGTTTGGGTTGGGCTGAATACTATCGTTGTGGTAATATGGTCTGATCTATCGATTTCTAAGCTCAAGATCATGGTCGAAGAGACAGCTCTCGATGCAAATTCAGTTTTCGGTGATTCGGCGCTAGGCGCTGTAGCATGGACCGTTTAAATCATCCCTGGTTCAGATGGTAACTCCCAAGTGGCAGTCGTCTGTCCATTACAATCATCGTTGCAAGTGTGGCTTGTACGCCGGGATGTTTATGGGATATTACTTTCCTACCAAGCAGATTCAGGGGATAAAAAGCGATGATCTGGCCTGTGGTTTATGCATGAGAGATGATATCCAATAGTGCCATAACACCAGTTTGTCTACTGACCCGGAACCGTCATCAGAAAAGAGCACGACTCAATCTACCAGGGCTTGTTTCTTGGCTAGCATGGCCTGATTTGGATATTTTAATCATACTGGGACCTCATGGAAAGTTGCAGTGGCAACTACCTTCAATGACTACCTTGTGCGGACAACGTATACATACGAGCAATCCTCGGGCCTCTCATTCTGGATCCAGTCAATCACGAAAACGAATCCTCTGAAACATTCAAGTTCTAACTCAATTGCCTCCTAGCAATACTGGTCTTAGCCAGATGCAGAAATCAGCATATCAATGGATATCCAGAAATGATAGCCATGGTATACAACAACTGCATGTCTTCACCCCGAAGGATGAAAATAACGCCGTGACCGACGAGAATGTGTGTCAATTAAGTTGCCAACCACACAAAGCTGTTCCCACTGGTCGTCTGACGCTACTCTACGAACCAAGTCGTATAAATGCCCTTGCCGTCTGCCACGACAGTGACCAAATACGGGTATAGGCATCGTTAAGGGGAAAACAGGTTTAGTCCTAAGAGTTCTCTGCTACATTGAATGGCTTTTCCCACTACTTGATCATTCTCCAATAAGATTTATGTCAAGCATTCGCATGCAAACCCACGCTATTGATCACTTAAACACACTAAGCCTCGGCTTTGCATGATTTAGCACCATCCATATACGGAATGCCACACTTGAGCTTACCATGAGAGCCGGATTGGCGTATTACTTGTGTACAGCTTTAATATATTGGGCCTTTTGTCAGATAATCAAAACCGCACAAATCAGCTACAATATTGCAGTGCAAGCACGTGGTTAAAGGCCACCGAGTGTGTTGAAGACATTTTAGGGCAAAGAATTCAGACATCGACTCGGATGGATTCTGGTTCAGAACTGTCAGCACCGAAACCAGCACTCTTTTCAACAAGCATGGATATGTGAATGTTACCGAATGCAAGAAATCGTTTCTGGAGAGAAAGTCAGAGAGAGCTACCATTTGACAGACCTATTATGGAACTATCTGCAGCTGTCCAAGCCCCGAACCATTGTTATCTCAGCGCGCATGCAGTTTATGGCTCCCATGTCAAAAACTATATATCAAAGACTACCGGAATTACCGTAGCTACTTGATATTTCACAACTCCAGCATTGGAAGAGAGACTGTTTTGCGTATCCTTCGCGCAGTTCAAGGTGGATCAAACACATCGATGTGGGTGACGAATGCGAATGGCTTTTACACCTCGAGTAAAGATCGAACGATGATATGCATGTATATCGAACCATTCAAACCGAAAATGGGCTGTCTGCTTCTCTATAATATAGAAAGATCTCATGGATAGACGCACAGGATATTCTTTCAGTTGTGGCATCGACCAGCTTGCACCTTTTACGCTGGAAACGATATCTATGGCACCAGGTGATGAGTGGACACCATACTCCAGACTGCTCAGGCACCTGCATTGTGCAATCAACGCTGTGCCAACCCATGGCTTAGCCCTAAGTAAACGATACCTACAAAATACCCCAAATTATGATGACAGACGATCCGGCACTGTGTAGGTGAATCAGTGGGATCCCTGTGTTGATTGCCGAGAGCTCATTCGTCTGCATTGAGGAAACGTCCTTGACTTTTCCCAAAATGCTGGCAGCGCTGATGCCCCTGATCAATTTTGAGCGGCTTATAGAGGACCTTAACCAGCCTGGTAGTGGTCAGTCGTTGCGCAGCGAGTCGGTATGGTTGTACCATGGGATACTGCCGCTTCGTACTGTCTGGAATGCGAGGGAATATGGCGATGACGCGGCATCTATTGTAAGCATAATAGATTCCGACGTCATCTAGGGTATTTATCAAAGCTATTAATCATTCTTATTATAGGCTGTAGAAGTCATTAAGAGAACTATTCAGCGCAAAAGAAACGTTTGCCAGTCATGCGGTCGCCGTGGCCAGTCCTTCGGAGAATGTTGTTTTATGCGTGGGATTGAAGTCCTGGTAAGTTTCCTCTAATTAAAATCCCAGTATATCCTTCTAGAAATTAAGTAAATCTGACTGCCTATAGGGTGCATACATATCTACAAATTCCAAACATTCAGCTCGATGTATGCTGAAATGACTTGGTCATTAAAACTCTTCAGTTAAGGCTGTCGAAATCCACAGCGATTACCAGGAGGCATGTACTCGTCTTGATACCATATAATCTGTTGCGCTACTATGAATATTTCCAGATTTCGTCAAATCAAGAGCTTGCTATTAGTAGCTTACGATGAATATACCTGGTCCAGTCAACAAGTCGCAGAATCCCAACAACACCTCAGAAACAGCCAGCCCAAAGAGAGAAGAAACACAATGACTCGTCCGACCAGCGTCGTGGCGAGGTGGGCCAAGCAGATGGTCCAGCAATTTGGCAGCGCGATGATCTTGCTCATGTTCTAGGGCTGTGACTTGACAACGGTAGATATTTCGGTGAAGGGGCCCGTGATAGACTCAGTCAAGGCCCCCGGGGCGGAACTAGAACGTTTAGACCACAGTCACATACAAGATCAACAACATTGATGTGAAATGGAGCCTATAAGCAACTTCGGCAGAATATCGTCTCTATGTCCCGTGGCACCATTTTAAAGCGAGAACGGATTCCCCTGCTCGGTCCAGCTTCTCCCGGCTGTCTGTAGGGTGGCGAAGAGGCATTACAGTACCAACGGCTGTGCTCAGCAGCGAATGGCTTTATTGTGTTGTCGTTGCAATGCCATGAACAAGGGCAGACTGGAGAGGAATATGTGCCAGTGTATCTGGTAATGAACCGGCAAAATTTGTCACAGTTGCCGGGGTGTGTGCCATAGCGGCACGAACCATTCTGGACACACCAGAAGCGATGGAATCTTTCAAAGACGAAGCGCGAGACTTGTGGAATGCGGCTTCAGGGAGGAACGCGCGACTTCTACGAGACATCGAATAGAGCAAGATAAAAACTGAGGATCAATAGATGGCCACTAAAGCCGGAATTGATCAGGCGACACCAAAAACAGTCAACGAAGTCCAACTTTTCACACGGCGTGAAGGCGTTCGCTGAACTGGCTCAACCTAAGAGCAATGCGACCATATACCGTGCGAACAGAATCGTGAATGAATGATGCAACGGGCCTATTCCGGGTACACGAACTCAGGAACATGCTACCCGGAGAGACAACAAGGATCTTAAGCCACTTCAATATAGGGCAGATCGCGCTGAGATGTGCCAAAAGCATCACCAATCCTGCCTCCTCCCATTGACTGTCTGTGCTGTCCTCGGGGTCGCGGGAGCTTATACTATACAAATCTCACGACGGCGTGAATCTCGACATTACCAATACGAAGGCCACGCCTCACAGAAGGTTCAGGATGAATTTGATTCGTATAAACGTGTATCTCGATAATAATAGATGGGCAGACTATCCAGATACCAGGCATGAAACGACATTGCCTAACCTGATGGCAATGAAACGATACGGTCCTTATCGTGTCGACATTGGAGAAGACGTGGAAGAGGTATGTGGGAAGAAGTCTCCCCATAAATCTGCACGTTCTGGAGAGGGTATACTACTTATCTATTCTGCATGCATTGCTTGAGAACTGCAAACAAGAACTACTAGCATTCAAGCAATTTGGTCGAGGAGGAATCCAGATTCTCATCGAGGATAAGATTAAACCCGCTACAACGATGTACATTCCGCATGGAGTATATGGAGAAGACGACGGACTTTTACATATCCCACATGCGCTTTCTTCCCTATATTCAGGCGTCATTCTCCTCGCCAACACAGAACAGGACGATAACCAAAGACCCACTGCTTCATCTTCATCATCTGTCACCTACCGCGAACATACAATTCCAAATCTAAGCTACCCATCTTAGCAGGAGTATTGCACCTACAGATACAGAGTTAACTTGTCAATAGCGTATCCTGCTAAACGGCTTACTAGCCTCAGCTACTTATATCAGTTGAGAATTAACACCGTATCAGTCGCGGTAATATCTTGAGTGCTTAGCATCCGCAACCAAAGAGCCAGGGCACGTCCACGTTTATTGGTTTAGTGCCCATTCTCCGATCGACAAACACTCCATATAAGATTCTAAGATGGAATAACAGAAGGGTGAGAAAAACCAATTACTGGCCCGGTTAACGACCAACGCCTGAAGTGGAACATTATCAGGTTGTCTCGCCTCAGTCCAGGATTCAGCCATTTATTTTAGCCACATCTGTCGCTCCTATAACCCATGCCACCAGCCCATCTCGAGGGAACACTTGTGTTTGCTTTGAAAGCATTCCGTTTTTATACACTACAGATGATCACTTATATCAAGTCTAAATGGGCTACTCAGATGGAATAATTGGGCCGACGCATTGATGGCCCAACCTAATTGCTGCGCACACACTGGTGTAGATATGGGTGCATGTAGCCATGGTGCTGTGGGTAGCATGGCCTTGCGAAGACTCAGGTTGTTTTGCTTTCACTCTTCGATAACTTCGTTCAAGAGCTCACCCCCCTCCCCCTTACAATCTTTTCTTTTCTGCTATGTCTGATTTGCAGGCTAGCATCTGGGCTGGCGACTCAGCCGTTGTTGCAGTCGCTGGGGCGGGTGAAGACCCAAACCGCGTGGCCGAGATGACAAGAAACTTCGTGCTCACCGCGTTGTAAGTCCTGGATATATATAAGCCTACTTTCATTGAACGCTGCTAGGCGTTACTAGACCGTCCCGGAGACGTCCGAGGCCTGCAAATTCGGATGTAGTTTCCATCATCCGGGGGAGCCCTGCCCTCTAGCCCGCTTTCTAGGCACAGGCCAGCGTGCAGGCGTTCCATGCGAGCAGAGCAGTGGAAATACTAACCATGGAATATAAAATCAAGCGTTTAAAAAGGGCTTATGCTATGAGATTTTGGAAAAAGCAGGACCATCTCTTCGCGGGTTCGAGTCCTCCTCCCCCGGTATCTCTGGGCCAGATAGTGTTGGGTTGTTTGAGCTCAGTGTGGGCTTTCAGTTCATTTTTCTTTTCGATTGGGTTGGCAAATCTAGTAGCTAGTCATGCATCTAGTATAGGCTTGGGAATTGTTGGGATGCTATGGGAGCTGGTAGTACATAAGAGACTTTTGTGCAAGATATATTTACGTCGTCGTTGCACTCGGGATAGGAATTTATCATCGCTAGTACGCGTATTAGTACATGCTCTCATGGCATAATAATACTCAATGGCTGCTGGAAAGAAATTTTATAATTCAATATACTGGATAAGTTAATCCAACAGCTCTAATACCAATCGCATACACCCTCTCGTAGTGCCCCATATTCAGCATAACTCGTATATCCGAATATATCCGACTCACCAACCAACCAACCCCGATAGAAAGTTCCCGCCCCACACAAACCCAAGCGGGAACAACATTAGCCGTTTTCTCCACGATATCCGATCCGATCCAATCCATGCAGCACATCAAATTCCCCCTTCCTTCCATGCAATATATTCCACACTAAGCCCCAAACCAGCCAACCATGTTCACCTTCTTCTCCCGATCCCAAACAAGCGGAGGAAAAGGCGGCTGGCAGCGCATCGGGCTCACCTCCGACTTCCCTGATGTAGACTCTCCAGAAAACAATGGCGATTGTCGGGTGACATCGCAATGCAAGGCTTTTACGATTCCGAAGACACCCACACCAGGCTCAAGTTCCGCCCCTGTGGAAGCGGAGATTGATGGTCCGCTGGAGGATTTGAAGGATCAGGTTCTTGTGTTCAAGTATAAGGGGAAGATGCATGCTATTGATCATGTAAGTGAAATGTCTTATCTAAGTAGCCATTATTGGCATGGAAATTGGTGTGGAAAGCTGATCGGGTATAGCAATGTCCGCATTCCTCGTTTCCACTGTCGCAGGGAAGTCTGTTTGACATTGAGGATTTTGGAATCACCCTGAGTGCGGGTATAACATGCCCTAAGCACGATTGGTCGTTTGATCTCTTTTCTGGACAGGCTGATCGCGGGAATTACAAGCTTAAGGTTTGGGAGGTACAGTTGCGGGACCTGCCTGCCCCGAAGGATGGGGAGAACGATGAGAAGGAGGTTTGGGTGAGACGCAAGCAGCGGATCGGGTAGTTGGAAGAACTAGTTGTTTTGTTCATTAGAGTTTTCCATTGGAGAGTTTGTTGTATAGCTGGCGGTATCGGCACCGCCAGAATGGTGCTTGGGCTGGACCCAGGAAGCTGATTCGATGGAGACTGCAGTTCCTGCTGCAGAAGAATCAAGATGTTGGCGTATGCTGAGGTTGGGAGCTGCCAGTCACATTTGACAGGCGAGGCTATTGCCTAGTGCAGTGATAGGCATGAAGTCTCAGGTATAACTTCGGCACACGTCAAGCGAGTTCTCCACTCATTATCATCTGACTAGAACGCTTCTTTAATAGACTCATGTTGAAATTGTTCCAAGAGGCTGCCCCATTGACTCCAAACCATTGTAGTAGAATCAATGGAATTGTGTTCATCGAGACCGTGCAGTTCAGGTCCATTCCAGGGAGTATGGTCAGTAGTCTGACCTTCCAAGCGATCCTGGCCTATTAGGTGTCTATTAGCTAGGCCCAGAGTCATCTGGGAATTTGCATACGTTCCCGTCTCTTGCCTCCAATATTTAAAAACTTATATCAGGACAAGGGAGCGAAGACGCATTGCGGAGCGCTCGCTCCTCATTATGCGCTTACCAGGCTTTCAAATGAGGTCTTGAATGGCGGTAGAAAATGCCGTCTTCTGTTGAGCGATACTCTCCCGATGGTGTCGGCTATATATGCGATTAATGATGTACCAAGCGTTCCTCGTTTTCTCCTCATGCACGCGATACTGCAGTTCAGACAGCATATGTATCAATGCTTCCCATGGAACATTGTCCTCAACGTACCACATGAACCACTAGGTGACATATAACGCAAGATGGAGTTTTTGGTAGGACTTGTCCTTGTGTGGACGAGGGGGTGTCTGTGACCAGTCCGGCTGTTTCGGAATCTGCCATGACCGGGTGTTTTGATAACAGCTAGGTGTTAATGATGTTGATTTCATGTGTCTACTGGAGCATGGTAGCGAATGTAAAAAGGTATGATCGCTCTCAAGATGAGCTGAGTGGGACGCGGCAAAATTAAGAAGAGGGCCGAAGACACGGTGTTTGTTTCATGTACCCGGAAATGCGGATTTAGGGAGTGTGGCCTCCGCGGCACGCATATTTTTTATTCGATTCGTGGGCTTCTGGCTCTACGTCCTTGCTACTCAGCTCTAAAAAGCCGAAGAAGCACTTTCTAAACGTCTACTAGTTAGGGATATAGCGAAGTGAATGATTACGTGGGTTGATGTATCGTAAAATCTACCTGCAGTCGGTGCGGGAAGCGTCGGCCCCTCTTCTATCAACAATCATCAACATCACGACTAGCACAGTAAGGGCTCTTCTTCCTTAATACATGCCCAAACTTCCAGATGAATATAACTCCCGTCAAACCAATGCACAGTGCAATGATACCCAGTATGCTTGAAGTCCAACCATACCCTATCCGTTCATATCTATGTCATTGTCAGCAATGCCGCTCTACTCGCAGGGAAGAGAAGAAACCCACGCATATGGAGAAAACAATGGAAACACAAATCCCGCCAGACATCTGAGCATTGACGTCGCAGCAAGCGCACTAGCAGAGTATCGGCCGTACGTATCCACGACATAGATGTTATTCGAGACCGTGCAGATGTACGCCGCAGCCGCAAATAGTGCGATTCCGATATCAGGCATCAGCCAGAACATACGGGCTTCCGCACTCCACCCATACCAGAACAGACCAATGGACAGGATAACGGTGGCCGGTATCATAATGGGTATGCGGAACTCAGGCAGGCCTTTGCCGCCGTTCCGTTTAGTCATAATTCGAAATATGCGGTCATTAATGTGGGTTGCTACTTCTGCTGCGAAGGCTGTTCCTAGGCCCAGTGCGAGGTAGTGGAGTGATGCTATGTCTAGTTTCTCGTGGTAGCGGGTTGTCCAGAGGATGGCGATGGAAGAATAGAGAATGTAGATATTACCGTAGAGGTAGCCTTGATATAATGCCATGACTTGCACTATTGGTTGTGTTGAGAGGAGTTTGATGGGGCGGATCATGATTGTTCGCATCATGTCAAGTTTGGAGTCACTGGGAAAGTCGTGTTCTGTGTAGAGGCCTGTGGCTCCTGCTTTTGTGAGGCGATCTCTTTTCCTGCGTAGAAGAACTGGCGTGTATGACTCGTCGAGGAAGAGAAGACCGAAGAGCTGGACGCAGCCGTCTATGATAGAAGTCGCATAGAATGCCCAACGCCAGGATGTGCGCATTGTTAAGAACCCACCCGCAATGGGGCCCAGGACTTGTCCCATAAGAGGGAATATGCTGTAGATTGCCATGGCTTTACCACGATCTTTGGCATTGAACAAATCTCCGAGAGTTCCAGCTCCGATCTATAGTTGAAGCTAAGAATCACAGAAACTAATATGGGGGCATTGGTAACCTACACCAACAGTACAACTTCCGAAAAGTCCAGCAAAGAACCTAAAGGCAAGTAATTGCTCAATACTTCTTGCAACACCGCATGCAGTATTGAAGATCAGAAACACAAAGTTGAATGTCTGGAGTACCCGTGTTCGCCCCCAAATCTCAGACATGGGACTGATAAACATGGGCCCAATGGCATAGCCAAGTAAAAATATAGACATAACCATAGGCTTCTGAACTGTCACTGTGACATTAAGCTCTTCCGCAATGGTATCTATTGCCGGAGAGACAATAGTGGTTGGAAGCGGACTCATTAGAACGAAGCCTGAAATTGAGATGACTGCTAGCCACTTGCGACGAGTAGACCAATTCTTTGGATTCTCTGGATCGTCGGGTCCATCCCAGGTGACCTTATAGTCGTCAATACAATGTCTTCAGTATGGCCATAGCGTTTCCACACTTACAAGTTTATCATCGAGAACGCTATCACTCGTATACTCTTCCCGCTTGACGACTTCTTCATCTTGACCCATTGTTATTGACTCCTGGGCGCTCACTTCTTCTTCTGAAACCTCAAAACTGAACCTTCGACAAGGAGCCGATAAATGAAGACAGAAAGGAACGGTGATCGAACAAGTTAGCGCGAGCAAGGTATTTCTGCTCCAGTGAAATTTCAAGATTTCACATTCGACTAAATCCCCAAATTTAATAGTCAGAATAAGAGATCTGACGAGGCAACTCAATGGTTGTGCGTGGATATCGAACTCCGAGCTGCGATTTACTCCGTCGGAATGAAATGTGCATGCTCGGAGTTCAACCACCACGATTTTATTCCGATCAGGCTGGATTTATTCCTTGAGTGAACCCCACCAAAGTTAGCGCATCACTAAGAACAGGTCATTGCTTGGAAAGTAGTTCCGCTTGCTTTAAGGTCTTGGTCCACATTTTGATGAAGGATAATTGAATAAGAACCAGAGATGATGATGCCTTTGGAAGGTCCAGCCATGCTTGGAAGACTGGGTTCGGAATCCACCATAGATACTCAGTAATGCATCCCATACTGCAGCCAGCAGAGTCGGTAAATATTTGTTCTGGCGCCAAAGAAGTAAGGTATTTCAGGTAGTTTTAAGACTGCAAACTTCTTGCTTCAAAGCCGACAGGCTTCTAGCTCGAACATTCGGAATAATTTTAGGGCCTCGTAGTGTAGGCAAGGAATTTTGAGCATTAGGAACTATTCATCTGAAGACACTAGCTACGGAATCTGAGTACAACTAACAATTGTAAACAACCATATACTGTATAACCTCCTATTTTATTAAACTAAGTTCATCACCACGATTGTGTGTTTCCGAATCCCGCTGGGAACGAAATCCAGCCATCGCTCTCTGAAGAAGATCTCGAAGATGGTTGTTGTCCATCAGAACTTCAAGAGAGATGCCGACATCGTATAGAGATTCAACTTTGTCGAGAAGCTGTTCAACTTGGTCTAATAACTTGGCTCTTTGATATTGAACAATTCGGTGGGCGTGCTTCGGTGTTTCAAGAAGTCCCTTGATAGTCTGATTAGTCCCATACTAGACATACTAGTTGAGGACATACGTACACGGTCACATTCACAACTATCAATCGCAGATCTGTGCCTATGCCGTTCTACTGGACGTTGCCCTTTCTGTTGGTCTTGCACGTTTCCGAAGAATGCAAGCTCGGGATCGGGTAGGATACCGAAATCAACTTCGGTAGGAGGACAAGGCCTACGTCTCGGCTCAGGAACCGTAAGCAATTCGGTACTCATCGAAAGATGTGATAGTCTCCGCCGTTATCATTCCGCTTTTGGGGAGAGAATTGTACGAACCTGAAAGCCTGTAATTGCTCTTCAACATTTGATGTCTGCAAATTATGTGGCGTATCTTTGATACTTTTCGGAAGTGTGAAAGCAGCACCTTCGAAAGCGTTCTGGTTGTATTGTACATCTTGGTCTGGGATGCCTAGCATGCTGCAGGTGAATGCAGACAAAGGTCCGAGATGATTATCCGACGTCAAGCATGCATAGCCGTTATCGTGGGGCTCTGGGTCTATTGTTGAAGACGGCAGATTCGAGGGTCCGTCGTGGCTTTTTTCATTGCCAATACCACCCGTCTGATTGTCTGGAGGATGTGATTGTTTCCGGGCTTTTGCTTTTTCGCCTATATGCAGATAAGAAATCATTAGCGGGAACCTTGAATGCTATACAGTGTGTTGACTCACGAAATTTCCGCTGAGCCATACGGTTTTGGATTCGTTTCCGTTGGGATGGACATGGTTGTTCTCTGATCTCTAATATATTTTGGCCCATAAACGAGTTCATCGTAGGATTAGAATGATAAAGAAGTCAAGTTCGCATACTATTACTGAGCTTGAAGACTGTATGAAAACAAAGGTAAGTACAGCCTTGCTGACGTTCGTGATGATTCCATATAGCTTACATATTAGCCATCCTCAAGCAGTAGGACTAAGAAAGAAATACTCGACGAAGCTAGTATTTTAATGTGCACTTCTTGGCGTAATCATACTAGCGTATTGGGGCATTTGTAGATCCTGTTAGAGCTGGGAATGTGATCCCAATCCTTTGAGGGCGTGGAAACCATGAGTGCTGGATAATGAGAGGATGTGTTCATCTACAACGTCAGTGGCATACTCTGAAACAGAGAATACATTCTGCCCTCACACATTCGATGAAAGTTTAACTGAAGCTAGTCAGCCTTTATCTACGTTGAACGGTCTATATGCTTCCATAAAATGTACAATACTACCATTTGGCCTGAGAACCCTATCCGCATGGATTGAGCCGAAGTCTTCCCTAATTCCAGAACAGCGATCAGTGAACTGATGTCCCATAATGAAAACATTGGTAAGGATTCGGAGTTGGCCGAAACCTGAATGGGATGCTCCCTTGACTATAGTAGTCATTCCCTCAAAGAGTGACGAGCATGAATCAGTAAGCCCCAATGCGAGGTGATAACAGCGCGCTCTTTATGAGGAGCCGCATAGCGTTATAAATGCAGATGCGTAATGAGAATCTCGATAATCTTTATCTCCCAGCAACACCGGGGAGAAATTTTGGCACGTTTCCTCAAGTACTGTGAGAAAGCCGCATTGATTGGCGCGACTCGAAAACCGGGGAGCATTCCAGATAGTTGCCCAGATCCCTTTCCCCGTTAGATCAGCCAATACTAGCGCGGTCTAGACAGTCAGGACTCATTAGCGGCATGGAAAAAGCCCCCACCTGCCGCAAAATTAGTATTCTGTACACCTATTTGCGTATCTACTCCGGTGATGGTGGGCAAGACTGAGCGCCTTGCTGAGAAAATCGCGTCAACCGCTTGGCAGTCTTGCCGTCTTCCGGCTGATCGTGACAAAGTACTATCTATCCGAGCAGGACCCTTTTCGTTAGCGCAAATTGCAGCAGAGGGACGTTCGACTAGACTAAATCTATATTAGCCCAGTCTTTGTGAATCTAGATTTCGGATAATTCCCATAGCAGGGAAACGTACCTAGTGCGCCAGTGACTGGCCGCAGCACGTGCCTAGGCAAGATGACCCTGCTCCTCCGCTTCATACGACCCTTGCATGATGCAGCCGGTCCGAGGTTGTCGCCTTAGAGAATCAGTCGTATTATTCACCACCAGAGAAAAGGATCGTCGCTATAGTGATTTTGTCGGTTGAACCCGCCGCTAAAATCGCGTCATTTTATCTCATCTAAAGAGATCCAACCTTGGGCTCATAAGGTTGCTGAGCACAATAGAAGGTCATCTGGATGAGAGTTTGCCACTTGCTTTGCCCATGCTAGGCAGATATGTAGAGTAGCATCATAATCCGAGTTTGGTGTAGTGATCGGCCACGCGAAATAGTTAATAAAGAACCAGGATATTCTCCGGATAATTGAACAGAGGCAAGAGGATTCAGGATGCGAGCCAGGCCGGAGCGGCAGGAGCGGGGTAGGAGTATGGGGAAATGGTTATGTGGCCTTTGGTAGCAAGTGTCTAGGCTACTGTGGACTAAGGGTCCATACTGAGGAAAGTAAACAAGCACTGGCTAAAAGGATTCACCCATTGCTTGATCTGGCCTTCCGGGAAAGCAACGGGGACTTTCTCATTTCAGACCCGTCCTACATGGTAAGGTTCGAAGTGTAAGTGCTAGCCCGTCCAAAACAAGGGTCTGCGACACTGGTTATTGGCCTGTATTAGCCTATAATCTCTGAAATACTGAAGAGAGGAATTCCTTGTGGGTACTTTTGCCAACACTACAGTTGTTGATCGATATATCTCGCTATGTTATCGCTAGGTCATGCTGCAGTTTAACCCCCCTCACTCTTGGCAGAGTATGACAATTGTACGTAGACGTTTCATATCCCATTCGAAAACCGCTCATCAACAATGTCGCGTAACTTCCCGCTGCCGGCATTCGTAATCAAATCCTTGCCCTCGATCCACTCAATCTGCAGCGGGGCGATGTTTTTAACTTTCCTGTTCTTCTTCCAGGTAGGGCTCTCTTCACACAAGATTTCTTCAAAAGCAGTCACTAGGTCGGATGTGTTCTCTGGCTCTGGCGCGACGATCCTCAAGACAAGCGCCTGTTCGTGCGTCTCCTTCAGGAGCCGGACAATGAACTGGCTTCCTGATGCCTTTCCTTGGCCAAGGACCCTCACGATCAATTCTCTGAGATACGCGACAGGTAGATGGGTGGTAGCGATCTTTATGCTGACAGCATCTCGGCCATGGACGTAGAATGTTTCCGCATCGTAATCAACCCAAGAAGCAATGTCACCAACAGGGTAGCGAAGCAAAGGTTGCTGCCTCTTCAACAGGCTAGTGATCACCACGTTCCCCTTAACTCCGGATGTAGTAATTGGATCGCCATTCTCGTCCAAGATTTCAAAGATGACCAATGGGGCCAAGACTTTGTAGACGGGCTTAATGTCATCATCTTCATTCTTGAACGGCTGCGCTGGAATGCCCACGTGTCCAAAATCGATACCACCGTATTCGCGGACGTAGATGGTGGCGTTCGGGAAGGCTGCACGGTAAACCGGACGGAGCTCCTTGGTAAAGCACTCGCCCGTGTACAAAATCAGCCGAAGACTGGGAAGAGTCTCGTTAATGGAAGTGAAGTATTCCGCCAGTCGACGTGTGGTTGAAACGTTGGCAATGAGAACAGTAGCTTCAAAGGTCTTCATGTAGTGAGCCATCATGTCAATTGATTCGTTTCCGCTAATAGGCAAGTGCACAATTGGAATAGGAAGTTCGAGGAGTGCTGTATTCAAGAGCATGAAACTCCCATATAGGGAGCCGTGGAAGGACATGTTTGCCACGCGGTCGCCAGGGAGGAAGCCACAGCCATGAGCCATAGCATTGGCGGTGACTTTGCCATGGGTTGACAGCTCTTGTTTGGTCATGACAACTTGCTTGGGAGTGCCAGTGGAACCACCACTGCGCATGACTGTGCCATCAATGAGGGGCCGAGTCATCACTCCATTGGGATTGGACGCGTTCGCTCTCCAGTATTCGTCGGGGTCGATGAGAGGAAGGTCAGTAACACTTTTGGCGCCTGCCGGAACATGTTCAAGAACGCGCTGGTAGAAGGGGGAATGAGAGCGAGCGAATTCGATGAGTTCGCCGATGTTATCCTTCCGATGAGATGACATTGTGTTTAACATGTGAAGTTGGCAGAGGACGGAGCTTTCGTTGATTCGAACGGTGACATACACCATCAAGATTGACTGCTCAGGCGACCCCTATATATGTCCCAACTGCTATTACCCCTCTTTTGAGCGAAATTTCTCGCTCGCCGTTGTACTATGGCCTCGCCTTACCACCCCCTTAGAGTTTCGGTGTTCTGGATATTGGCTCGAGCTTAATGTGGGGGTGTTGGTGACTTTCCCTGTTTACTCCGATTGTGTGATTCAGTTATTACTCCATGGAGACATCGGAAACCCCAGACTCTGTCAGACATTCACTTGAAGCCAAGGTGACTTGCTCACATCGCATCGGACTCTGATGGACATGTGCATGGCGCCTTACCACGGCTTAGCCATATTGGGCCATTGTATCAAACCCTGATACGCCATGTATGACCTTGCAGCGGAGGAAGATCGAAATAGCTACTCCGAGTCCTGCTTCAACGCCGCATATCTTCTTACATGCATAGCTGTTTCTTACGTGCAGGATTACTTCTTTTCTGACGCGTCGCTTTTCTTACATGCATTACATGCATAAGAAAAGACCCCAAGGCTCTGACGTGATCGTGGTGAAGCTTTCGGGAAGAAATAGCTCCAAACAGGTGCCGAAGATAAAAAGCCGACATGTACTTTGCCCAACAGCGACATAAATAAATGAGCGACGATGTACATCTTTTTGATCCTCACTACTATTACCAAAGAGCTCCGAGGGTTCTTTTACAAGAGATTAATTTCCACCGTACGCAGCCATGACTATTGTCCGTCAGACCGAACACCCAGTGGAGGTCCATGATACCGGCCTCCCACAGAACAACTGGAGTACACCCGGTCGAGCCGCATACGACTTCCGGTCTGATTTCGTTACCTCCCCGAATATGAGCATGCTCGAATCCATCGTCAACACAACACTTCTCGACGATGAGATGATGGAGGATCCAACCACTAACTATTTCCAGGAGTGGATGGCTCAGTTGACAGGCCATGAAAGGGCGCTCCTTACTTATTCGGGAACTATGAGCAACCAGGTGGCACTCCGGACGGCTCTCACCACCCCACCATACTCCATCCTTGCAGACCATCGCAGCCATATCCTGAACATGGAGGCAGGTGGGGCAGCGACTGTTTGTGGCGCTCTAATTCACGGTGTCATCCCAGCAAATGGCCATCATTTGACGCTGGGAGACATCAAGAAGCACTTTGTCTTCAAGAAAGATATCTGTGAGTGATATGACGTGTTGATTTACTTGTTCTAATACTGCGTGTATAGATGACTGCCCCACTCGCGTTATAAGCCTCGAGAACACCCTCTTCGGAACGATTATGCCCCTTGACGAAGTCCGAGATATCTCAATGTGGGCTAAGACCCAAGACCCACCGGTTCACATGCATCTCGATGGAGCAAGACTTTGGGAGGCCGTCGCTGCAGGTGCAGGTGCTCTTAATGAGTTTTGTGCCTGCTTTGACAGCGTTTCGCTGTGCTTCACCAAGGGTCTGGGAGCACCCATCGGATCTGTGATTGTAGGAAACACAGAATTCATCACAAGGGCAAGGTGGATGCGTAAGCTGCTCGGTGGTGGACTGCGCCAAACAGGGATCATTTCGGCGCCGATGTGCGTTGCACTCGAGGAAGTGTTCTTAGGGGGCAAGCTGAAACGGTGTCAAGAGAGAGCGAAATATATCTCTACAATGTGGGAACGTCTAGGTGGGTCTTTGCTAAGACCCACAGAGACAAACATGATGTGGATGAACCTGAACGATGGAAATGTCGACAAGAAAGCATTCCAAAAAGTAGCAAAAGAGCTAGGGCTCAAGGTGCACGAAAAAGAGCGCTTAGAAGGACGATTGGTAGTGCATTATCAGATATCTGATGACGCTATCAAGAAGTTGGAAATTGCGATGAGGGCTGCATTGAGTTGTTGAAAATCAGGAGATGTGTCCCAAAAGCCTGCAGCTGCCACTGTGAATAAACCCAGGTCTGTATCTCACTTGGGATTGTTGTATACGTATCGTTTATCTAAAGTTCATTGCATGATGTTTTCTCGCTTCATTTGGTCTGCAGAGTAAAAACCAGTACTAAATGTGAGCACCAGCTACATCCTCGGCCGAATAAATACCGTTACATAGTAGTAGTATCTTCAGTCTTCGACCGAAGTAGAGGAAAGGGGTCATGTATATGCAATTTGATAATGCGAGTCTGGCTTCAGCAGCGAATTGTGGGGTTTATGTCTTGGTTAATCTTAATATTATGTTAAGTTTGTACATGTCCCTCCATCCAGCGTGAGGGATGCGTACGGTGGGTAGCCCCCACACCTTCCGCTGGAGACGATAAACGATCGACTGGCTGAGAGCAGGAACGAAAATCCATTCATGCTTGGCACCAGAGTACTCTGGTACGCGCCGATTCATACGTAGAAGAAACCGCAGGAGGGAAGATATTCATTACAATAGAAGCATCCTTCATGCTAAAGTTTGCCTGTCCCTGAGAATAAGGCTTATCTGCCTAGTGGGGTACCGTCATGTGACCAATTGAAATCCACCACTGTATTTGGCGACCGTGATGTTACCTGGTTTCTTACTTGTGGAGCAATGCCTATTGTGCTCGTGCGTTTGCGTCTCCTGGACTGATACAGCTTGGCATCATCATCTCCAGTCCAAAGGAAAACAGCCTTCTTTCTACTGCTCGATTCCTGGTGAAATCCGATGTTCCTTCTCGTCTTTCGAGGATTTATGGCAATTTGAGCTAAGTATTCGTTATGACTTCTCGGCGTTCAATTTCAACTAGACGCAATGGAAAGCCTTGCTCGTGCGAGCCTTGTCGAATATCAAAGATCCGCTGCGACCACAAAACCCCCGTGTGCGACAGATGTGTCGTTCGTCAGAAAGAAAATAACTGTGTCTATCATCCTGCTCCAATGACCAAACCGCGCGATAGGCTCCAATCTGGACGGTCGAAAAGGCGGTCCTTGGGCTCCTCGGGCCTGGGTTCCGTGCCTACTCGTGTTAACCCACTAAGGGAGAGCATATCCTCGTCATCGACAACTAGAACCGTTCCTTGCGCAGAAACTCAGTTCTTCGGCTCGACAGCCTTCCCGGCAATTATCAGTGATGACCAGAATGTTGTTGATCGCTATCTGGGGCAGCTTCCTGCTCAGGAGCTTTCTTCTAGTGCAGACCATCTACACCATCAGGATAAGTATTCAGAGAAACAGATATCGGAGGGCACTAAAGTGTTGAATTTGCTGTTTGAGTTTCCAGGATTTGCAGACAGTATTTGCAAATACCTCGAGCTTTCCTATACGTGCATGGTACCGCATCCTTTTATCAAAGCTTGTATCGAATCTATACAGGAAACGATGCAAAGGTCAAGGGGTAATCGTCTGAGGCAACTTGTCGTGACTCTGTTCGCAAACACTGCCAAGCCTTTGGATGCCTTTACCACTGTGCCGGCGAAGGCCTACCATACCTTGTTCACTGGGCCCAATATCAGATGGGAAATTATTGGCTTTGTCCTTGCCATTCTTGGTGTATCACTTAAATACGATGTCAATAAACGAACCAAACCTTCGGCAACCTCACAATCTGACCAGAAGCTGGATTTCATTCATCGTCTCGCTGAAGGCGTCGATTATTGTACGGCGGTTTGCAACAATTGCAATTGTGTTAGCCCCCAGGCCCTATGGTTACTTTATGGGAATGCCTGCTTGAAGAACCTGGTCTACGGTGACATGAGTAAGTGCTCCCGACTGACACGATACTGTATCACTGAAAGTCCAGGCTGATTGTATAGGCTTCCAATTATGGCGCTGCATGGGCGATGTTTCAAGCATGTTCTTCGCCCTTGGGCTTCACCAGGAGGATTCTAGACTTGAAGCAACATATCCTTTCTATCAAGTTGAATTGAGAAGGAGATACGCAGCTCAGATATATTCAATGGACAAAACAATCAGTACTTTCCTTGGCCGCCCACCCAGAATTTCGGGATCTTACTGCGCCAATACCATGCCCGCTGATATTGACGATGAGGTACTTCTGCTAGACGGAGAGGAACTAGATGAGGTATTGTGCAATGTCGATGCGAACGGCTGGAATATGGATCGTCAGTTCCGTGGTGCGACCTGGAGGCGGATGAAGCTGATTATCAGCCAGTTTCGGGAGGAAATACTTGGTCTATGTCTAGGGACGCGTTTCTCGAGTGGCAGTGAGGCTCTGGCAAAGTGAATACCCTCTGATCTCGGGAACGTTCTAGGTCACTAATTACAACTCGACAGGGATATACTGGCCCGACAGGAAGTTGTGTGGGACCAGATTCCACCAGAACTCAAATTTGACGAAGTCACAGGGTCTCAGCACATACCTCCTCCTCAGCGGTATGTTGTGATGACTACTTACATGGATCAAAAATACACCTGCTTCTTATTGCATCGAAAACTCCTGAATGAGACGACGGAATGGACGCGAGAGCATCTGTACAGGATCTCAAGGTCACTGTTGAACACAGTATTGCAGGTAGTGTCGCTCTCTGATCAGGTCTCCAACATGCAGCGAGATATATCCTGGCCCGTAGGTGCTTATATTTACTCTTGTTCTACACATAACTGAGTCTGTTCCAGATGCTCTATTACGGGTTACCAGGAGCCAGTATCCTGGCAGTGGACTTACTGAAGCACCTGCACCCTTCATTCAACACTCCGAACCCCCATATCAATGTGGTTCCTCGAGCCGAGGTCATACAAAACCTGGCCGTGTTTATCTCGAACCTTCAAAGGAGCATCAATCGAAGAGAAGTGAACTGTGAAACTTGCAGACGGGCACATGGGATTCTGTCCCGTATCCTAGACGAGATAATCGACCCAACAAACGGCGAACCAGCAATCTTAGATACTGCAGTACAGCAGATGCCAACCAGCACACCGATTCCGTTTCCCTCTGGAATTGATAATGACCTCAATATTGAAAGCTTCTTCAGCCAGCTTGGATACTGGGACTTGGCGCTTGATACTTCGGCCACCGTGCTATAGTCTTCCAGAAACCGACAGGCCTACAGAAATTCTGTTGTGGGCTCTTGCCAGCCACAACCCTGAGATACATCATTTATGGATCGTCTAAAAATAACATGGTGGACCCACGGAGCAGTAAGTCAATGATCATAATTTTACTATATAATGTATTATGTGCGTGGTGAGGCTAGAGTTTGTTTCAATAGCATGGAAACCAACCCGAAGGGTTACAAGAGCCCAATAACAACCTCACCCTTAACTCTGGCATCGAGGTTAAGCTGCACTTTCGCACGCAAATTAAGTCGAATTCTAATCTGCAAGCTGCCGCTCTTCTCCGGAGTCTCCCACTGCAAGTCCGGATCGTCAATTTTCATGTTCATACCACCAGTGGTAATCTCCTTGACGGTGTTCTTGACGTCGCCGGCTTTGTCGCCGAGGCCCTGGTCGCCAACGGCCTTTGTCGCGTTACCGACGTCTCCTACTGGGTCGGGCATCTTTGATCCTGGATCTTGCGGTTGCTCTTGAGAATTAATATTATCACCCCCTTGATCGGCTGGGGCTACTTTTGGCTTCGTGGGTGGGTTCGATTCCTTAGGGAGCCCTTGCGCCTGTGGGCTCTTTCCAAGTCTTTGTTGGTCTCCCTGTGGTGAATTTACACTTTCTGATGGCGGACTTGAAAGCTTCTTCCACTTCCGTTGCTTGTTGAGTTTTGGTGGTTTGGGAGAGGCAGGCAAGCTTTCTGTTGGGCTGCTTGACGTTCCAGGTGGTTGTTCGCTTCAAGGTTGCGAATATATGTTAGCCAAACGTCTTATGACACGAGCGATCTTGACAGTGGGAGCTAAGGGGAGAGCTAACTTGACATGAACCTTCCACACTTACATGGCAATGTCTTCTGAACCTTTGTCGCCCATGTTCCGAGAGTTACGGGAGGACCCTTTTATCCACGATTAGGTTCGCCGCATTACATGGTGGGATGTAATGGACACCGGTGAGCTTAAAAATCCATCTACCGATCTGATATCCGCATGATGCCGGTTCCAGCAAGAAGTCTTCCGCATCCGGCGAAATTGCAACTCACATACACTCTAACTTTGTTGCACAAGCGGCATCCAAGATGTCATCCAACGTCGTATCGGCACTACCGAGGCGATGGAATGCAATGGGTAGTTCCGCAGACGGGCCTCACCGGGGTGCCCGAGAATATATGAAAGTTGCAGCCGAACTAGACCATGTTCCTACTCAGAGTCTATGATCCTTTCATAAAAGCTTTACGTCTATATTCTAACAACCAGCAAACCGCCACAAGCTAAGCTGCCCAGTATGGTATTCTCACTTGTCATGATGTCAACGTTAGTGCCCACCATCATAGGGCTAAATGAAGCTACGAAGGGCGCTCGAGATCAGGAGGAAAGCCGCAGAGCCGAGTCACGATCACGACGATGTCATCTGATAGCCACTTGCGAGGAAACCACGGGTTCGCCGACTCAGAGACAGCAGGTCCACAATGCTAAAGTGTATCTGGACAAGGACTATAAGGTTCGTATGACATACAATTGCGGGGATTTTCGCATGACAGGTTGCTAAATGTGTTAGATCTACATTGTCAAACAACCAAGTCCTAGCATGGCCCCTTTCACTGGACAATTCTACACGCACCCAGCTTTTGGACAAGATAACTCGGCCGGCCTTATCTCGATGAGCCCGGAAGAACCGCCTCTCGCGCGGTGGGTGTATCTGGACAAGGACACAAAGCAATTAAGCTATGGAAACAGAAAGGATAGCGAGGAGAACGTGTGCGGTCCGTTCGATTGGACGGAAGACGAAGAATATGTCACCTTGGAGGGGAATGAGCGATGGCTGGCAGTGCGATTGCCAGACGATGCGCGGAAGGAGCAAGAGGCTAAGGATCTGGGACTGGATGATGATAAGGCTGTGAAGGGTCTTTGGAGGCTTTACTTCGATCGCGATGACAATAGTCTGGACCTTCCAGAGGGGACAGAGACGGTGAAGATCCGTTTGAAGCGGGATCCAGTGGAAGAAGAAGATGATGATTCCTTCTGAGTCAACCAATGCCAACAAAATCGTGGATAGACAATGATTGGTTGCACCGGTCTAATGGTATGTTGCAAACGGATAGGCAGAGTTGTTGTTGCAGCCCTCCGTAGCGACGCCAGAACGCCGTTTTCGGAAACCCGCCTTAACTGATACGCTACGGTAGATTGGGTTAGTCATGGGCACGAACAATCCTAGCATTGGTCCGGAGTTACTTCAATCTTAATACATTTTATCTGCCAGCAGACGATCAAAACAAAAACAAAGTGGTATCACATTAGCCGAAAACCCCAATCCTCAACCTCAGACCAATCACCCATCATGACTGCACGTTTCATACCTCATTAGAAAACGTAAATCAATCAGTCGATCACCGAGTCGGGATGAAATGCTGCGAATCCTTCTCCTGCTCGCTGAACGACTCACGGAACGCAGCAATCGCAGCAATGATAGCGATTGCAATGAACGCAAGGGAAATAAACGACCAGATAACACCCCAGCATTGCGAGGATCCTCCGTATCTCTTAGCGAACTGGCTAGCATCGGAGGTGTTGACTTTGCGAAGGATAAGGTCGTCACACTATACTTACAGTTAGCACATCACCGCCATCATACCACATCAAAGATGACAAGGAAAGATATAAGAGAACTCACAATATCCCAGACACTATAAAGTGCAGACATAACCCCAATAAACAGCTATATCCCGCATGTCAGCACACCGTCCTCATACAATGAACAAAACAAAAAGAAGAAAGGGAACATACCACAACCCACTTCAACGCCTCCCCATGCGCAATAAACCAACAAGCGACCAGCAACCCCACCGCCAGCAAAATAGTAATAATAGTCAACCAATCCCTCCGTGCCCACCAAAGCGTGAGCAAAAAGCACACTCCCAGAACAATACTGGCGACTTTACTCGCGACGATATCGAACCCGGCAAAAATCAACAGCGAGCCGATAATCGACGACCCGAGGTATCCAGCAGGTAATGTCACGGCGCTCATTCCTCCCTGCATGTGCGTGACGCCGCCTTCGTGCGGGTCAAGGGAGATGGATTTCACGCGCCCGCCGGTGCAGCAGGCTGTTATGGCGTGGCCGAATTCATGGAAGGCGATTACTAGCATCTATCCTTTGTTAGCATTCATGATTTCAGGGTAGGCAAAGAGTGGGTGAGGGGGTTGGTTATTACCTTAAACGGCCACAACGACCACCGCACATACGGCAAATTCCAAAGCAGCGCGATAACAACCACATACGCTGCCATCACGCCTAATGTTACTGCCTGGGCGTGTGTAACGCTCAGATCGCGCTTCATTATATGGTGATCGACGGCCCGTTGGTCGAGGACCATGTAGTAAGGCGCCATGGTTGTTGCGATGAGCTTAACGAAAGTTAGGATACGAGTTGCGCGCCGTTTGATAGAAAGGAGTGTTTAATATAAAGCGACGACAAATATTCAAAGAAAAGAATGAAGACAGGCACCGGCGCATATTTATCGTCGTCTCACATGCGACAGCACTACGCGTTCTACTTGGCGTTGCCCTGTAAATTCCTGCTGCTTCGGGTTTAGTTCGTGGCTGGGCGTGGGGTATTTTTAGTACGGCTTTACGTGGCGGTGACTAACCCGGCATTTTTGAATATTTCACATTAAACTTAGGTTGCCATTTTTCTGTCAATCACATTGTTAATTGAAATAGAATAGATTGTATAGTGTAAGCACTTCTTTTATCTAGTCGTGTATACCCGTTTAATTCCCGTCTTATATATCTAAATAAGCAGATATCCTCTGTGCAGACTTACGCAGGGTCTCGTAGGGATCAAATTCCTTTTTTCCTTTCTCTTTCAGCCTTGTTGATGGGGTAGATACGCGGAGGGGTTTCCACTGGCCTATCTTATCCAGTTATCCTGTCCTATCGTTTTCAGTCTGGTTAGTGTCCACTGGAATTTAAATGGTTTGGATGGGTTCCACGGGCTTGGCGTTTCACCAGCCTCAATTTTAGTTGTTGGATCGGGCTGTGTTAATCTACCGTCGGTGTAAATGGAATCGTTGAAGTCGATAGTTCATGAATTATCAATGCAGTAAGGAAAATATTGCAGAGAACAATTGTAGATCTTTTGCAGATCCTGTCACTTTCTGCATGTAATATTGACTGAGATTCTGATGTCATTACTTTATATTTTTTCCTTTTTGGATAAAAGTAGAAGATTAGTTCTCGTCTAATCAAAACAACAGACAACATTTAGTTCATGGAGATCTGCAAAGTTATCTTATACATTCTCAGTCTTCATGAGATATAGTTAGCCTTTGCTATGGATACTAGTTCATCAGTTAACTATATGAACTAGTATCATTCATCCCGCACCACTCACCATCCACCTACTAGCATACACAGCCTAATCATCCACTCCAACAAAACTACTGCCATACTATCCACGTTCACAATAAAAGAACCATCGATACTCCCCTCAGCAGTGAATATCAAGACCCATCTAGGGCTACTTACTCTCTCAACGCGTCCCCAAACGCGTCATTATTGGTCGCCCTACGAGAGTGGATTTTCGCGATTCCTTTTACATCTCGGTCAGTCCAGGGATCTCATTGGTCTGTTTAGTTTTGAGGACCAGATCATGTCATATCTGATCTGGTTTATCGGTCTCGATGATCTGTGAGTGGGGGTTGGTGGGGGTCGGGCTGGCGTGGGTATTCACTCGCGGGATAGGGGTGCACTGTACTGTGTTGGGGATGGGGGTAAGTCCAGTAACTGTGGGTAGTGTAGGGCCTTGCTACTGGTTGGTTTAAGTTATGTCTGTGGTTGGGAGATGGAAGGATATCAGAGGAGTTTACGGCTACATGGTGATGTGGAAGGAAGATATAATATATGGCAATAATATTGAGAGAACATGGTGACAATTTAGTAAGCTTGAAACAGACGGCTCGGTGTTGTAAGAACAGTCTCGGATAAGAAGACAACATCAATCGATCATAAGGGTGGGAAGAAGGTTTGATCCGATCAAACGACGTCTCCAGCTTTACTCCCCCCTTCTGCTCTCCAGACGATCCAACTAAGGGTGATTGTGAATTTCAACCCAAAGGCGAACCACAGGCTACTCGCCATGGTAGCAACTTTAGACAACCCACCCGCTGTCATCGCCCCCAGAAACAACGCCAGGAATGCTCCAATCCGTCTGTTCCGCTTGGCGTTCTTCTTTGCGAGTAGATCCGGGTCGACCAGTAGATCACACAACAAGGTTGTGAGTACTACAGTAGGAATCTCATCATATGCGAGAATCCTTGACGCGCAGATCTGCCCGCCTGCCTGGAAGGCAAGTAGGGTAATGGGCAGAATCTGCATCCACTGGATCGGAGCCCGGGGATCTTCTGGCTTCGGGGAGACCACTTTGGCTTCAACCAGAATGGCAGCAGCGAGGAGGCAGATGGTTTGGGTAGCGAACGAAAGAATCAGAGTTGAACGACGCCGAGGGCTCAGTCTTCTGGCTACCTGGATGAAGATGACGTTGCTGGTTATAAAAGTGCATAGGGCTATGAGTGATTTGGCCCAGAGGTAAGCTGGATATCTAGGTTGGGAGGAGGCACCGAGGGCGATGAAGAGGGTATTCCCTAGATTCATTAGGAGCTGGTATAGGCGACTATAGTCAAACAACTATGACGTACCTGTCTGCATGCTTGAGAAGCTACCCCATGCGTTAAAGGATAGCCCGTCAACTAGCCCGCTGACAAACCCGCAAACTATCAAGACTATGTCTGCATATCTGGTGTCGATCTCGGCTTGGAAGTGTCGAGCCAAATTTGAATAAAGGCCTCCACCTTTTACGGGCTGATTAACAGAGAGGGAGACATTGGTGCTATTGCCAGAGGACCAGAGTCCACCCTTGTCTTCAGCAAATTGGAGATGTCCTCTGTTTGTTGTTCTTACTGCTGGGACCGGTTGAATATCCTCGGACGGATAGGACTGCATGATGTAAACTAGGGCACTTGAAAAGAAGCAGTGATAGAGCTAGGAGAAATTGCGATGGATAAAGTTCCTTAACTTGGGCATCCAACGTGCCGGACGTAGGATCTATATGTGGCAGACACTGCCTGGATCTTCATAATCATGGCGAGTCACCCGTGTGTCTCCGCGCCAAGGAGTTGGATCATCACCCATCCTAACCTTCGAGTTGATACTATTATCCGGAGAGACACACGTTTGGCAATCCTCGTGGTTGGTCTTCACCGCCTCTCTAAACGTTTCAGTTTCAGCCCAATATGCGACACAAACACGCCTCATCCTGGAGATGCGAATTGTGCAGGATAGCAATACCGCATCGGACTCATCAGGCGACAATATCCAGGGATTCAGTGTATTCGGGTTTGGACGTATCGTATACTCCGCCGCGCGCTACCTTGGCACAACCTTGGCAGGCCTGCCAATCCGGTTCCGCTGAGCGGCAGAGGCTCATGCTACCCGTCGGTCGGGAGCTGCCAAGCTTATATTCTCGGCCCTCGTTGTGATTTGGTATCGGCTGTCCAGTATTGACTGCGGACGGTGGGAGATTCTGGGCAGGTGGCGCACTAGTCCGGGTAGATCCCCATTCTCTGCGGGATGGAACGGGATGGATGAGCTAGAACCGAATCATGAAGAGTTTCATCGTGTTATATGCCTTGATAAGCCACATCACGGCGTGATGGCTGGATAGTATCCGTATCAGGACCTTTAACGTCAGATACCACACCATCAGCACTTGAACCTATCCAACAGTAGACCATAACAGACTCACCTGTCATGATTCCGCTTGGAGCCAGCAGTAAGTGGCTTTTGGGTTTGTCCAAATCTAGTAAACTTTATATTCAGTTGCCGCTGAGCCACGCTGGGCATGTGTCCAAGAATACTTGGCGTCTCTCGAGTGTGTGGTCTGCGAACATCTTTTCGCGGCAAATGTGAGCCCAGACAAATACCCCCTCCGGATTGAACAGATGGGGAATCCATATCTATATCTCTTATCGATTCACGTTTCGTTGACCAGTCATAATTGAGAGCCAGTTAGAGCTTGGGCTGACGAAGGCTATTTCCAAGTGAAGCACAGGTCACGGAGCAGGCAGCCGCAATCAGCTCGTATTGCCATGACAATCATCATTTGTATGCCAGATCCAGGTTGTGGCGTCATATTTCGCATCATCAATCCCACAAAGGCCGCCATAATTGTATTATGTGCCCCATAAATTTGCTGGTATCCGCGGACTTGATAGATCGCGGAGCAGGCGGACCACTGGTGGTACTGGTAAGTTTCTGGGCTGTAAGGTGGCTAAACATTAGCAAACTAACCTTATCATATGCCTTCTTTACGAATTGCTCTGCAATAGAGAATGCTATGGGTGATTGACTGGATATGGATTGGCAAGTGCACTGGAGTGTCTCGAGAGGCTTTTGTGCGATGGAGTAGCACTGCATGCAGCCAAGTGATTGAACCCTTTGGGAACAGCGATACTCACATGACCACGCTTGGCGATGTTTCTAGCCTAAAGTCAACCTTTCCATGGTGCCTGATTGGATTTACCATATACTTTACTAGATTCTACAAAGGTAGGCAGCTGGTAATATCATAATCAATCATGGCTATCGAACTAACATAATAATCATAACAAACGACAATCAAGCCCCCGTCAAAGCAAGAGAGCCGTTCAATTGTACACCCGGATCTTTCCATTTTTCATATACATGGACCGACGCAACGGACAGGGTGCGCTTATTTGCAGTGTCATGCGGCGCAAGCATGACAGGGTAAGTGGTGAAGAACACAACGAAACAGTCCAGTGGCGGACTCCATAGCAGACTCCATAACTCCACGCAAGGCCGGCATACTGAATGTGACAAGCACATCCATGGTGTAGACGAAAGAAATTAAGATTATGTTCAAATGGGGTATCTTGCCGCATCTCGGGGTATCGACATTGGTGGCATACGACTACCAACACCAGCAGCTCCTCCCCGCCCAGTACCTGCCCGCAAGTCAAAGTCGGGATTGTTCTCTAGGAGAACATCATGCTTCCGCTGCGCTGGAACGGGAGGTGGCCGCCAGCGGGGATTGATAGGCCGCTCAGATATTGATGTAAAGTGGCTTACTTCGCTAGTAGTCGGTGAGCTGGGTCCTTCAGCCATATCTTCCATCGGTTTCCTCTCACCAGTAGCACCTGGTGTCAAGACAGCCGGCAACCGAGGGTTGCCTGCCGCCGACTCGTTGGTAGCAAACCGAGGGTCTGCATCTTCAAAATAGTCCGTTGAAGGAGTTCGAGCATGTTGTCGTGGCCCTTCATACGCATGGACAGGCGAGGACGAGGGGCCGGTCCGCGGTTCTTCTGGAGCCCAACCGGCACGCGGAGGAATATATGATCTAAAGACCGTTAGCATTCAAACACAAGGTTAGAGAGGATACACAGCTTACGCTGTCCGACTATAGAGGCTTGAAGGACTGATAGGCTCCGGATAGCCATCTGCTGACAGCGCATGTGGCTGGGGTTCGAGGTGCGCTTCATGCGATTCATGAGAGCCCATTCGTCGTGGCTGTGGTTGCATTTCGATAGCCTGGCCGATTGGGCTACCATGATCGGGAGATACTGCCATTCCAATTGGCCCAGGGGACGGCTGTCGAGCGACGGGCGGTGGGTGGTGATAGCCGTACTCATCTTCAGGCGGCGGAGTTGGCCTAGGAACGGGCCCAGGCATGTAATCACCCGGAGGGGGTCCTCGGTATCCTCGTCCCATCATTCCGGGATGTCCACCTCGCATGGGACCCATTGGGGCACCGTTTGCACCCGGAGGAGGCGGGCCCCGGGGTGGTCCTCTATAAGGCCCCCCACGGCCATAAGCCCCTCGAGGTGGATAACCACCCCGTCCGCGCGCAAACCCTGGCGGAGGGGCCCCTCTCCGCGAGCCGACACTGCCGTCGGAATACTGATTGCGCAAACGAGGATCGGATGGTGGAGCTTGCGGACCAGGAACACCAGCATCATCAGGCGGAGAGTTATAGGCTGCCACATCTCTCCGCGCCCGGGTGTACTGGTTATCGGGCATTGGAGGGTCAGGATGAACAGTCCGTGAGTTCAGTGGCGTGCGATCGTCATCACTGTCGTGTGTAGTCGTACGGAAAGTAGCAAATGTAGGGCCCGTCTCGGATGAAGGCGAAGACCCAGTTATCACAGGCTCCTTTGTATCCAGGTTCGCTGCTGCTGCTGCCGCCGCCGCTGCGTTCTGGCGGTTGTAGAAGTTCTCCCCGCTCATTTCAGCATTTTCGTTGATCCGCTTCTTCCTTGCCTTGCGGCTCACGAGTGTCCGCCGCATTGCACATGTAACTACGCCGCAAGTGACAAGTAAAATGGTGGCAACTAATACAATCCATCCTGCCCAGGCCATGTGCGGTACAAACAAGAGAATATCGACCAGGAACGCGAGGAGTGACACGAGAAGAGTAGGAAGCAGTAGGATCAACAAGGCTAGCAAATAGCGGGGCGAATGCGACGGTGAGTGAAAATGAGCCGCTGCGGCCATGCATAGGCATACGAGTGTGAGGAACGCAGCGACGGGATGGACGATCAGAATTGCTGAGAGCGATCTGCGGGTGCCAGGTGCAATGCTAAATGTACCGTCTTCGGAAGTTATGTCATCTGAACTAGAGTCAGCTGCGATTCAAGTCAGGAATTTAGCGGTCCTCATGAGATTGGTAACAAAAGCACAAGAGGGCAACGAACCGTCGGCGTAACCAACATGAATGCTGGTGCACACATCGCCTTTGCAGTATCCGAACACGCCATAGTCAATGTTATCATGTCTCGCAAGCGCAATGCTTTTGACGATAGGGGTGGAAATGACAGAGATAAGGAGAAGCGCAAATGCGATCAGGAGGAGGATGGTGAGGGGAGTGGCGGGTTTGAGCAGCATGGCGATTAAGGGAGCGGAGCGGCGCTGCGGCCGCGATAAGAAAGGTTGGCGGAGGGACCAAGAGCGAACAAGAGGCAGCTCTGGCGAGCAGCCCTTGGAACTAACTATCTAGAATAGTGGGAAGAATAACAGAGAAACTTCATTCGAGAAGGAGAATCCGGAGGAGGAGGGGGGGGGATTGGAACCGAAAGAGAGGACCGAAAGAACGACTGGGTTGAGTTGGATGGTGAATGAACGGATGGCCTGGACTGCGAAAGGCTGAGAGATGATCGAAGGGGAAGACGGCCGGCATCAGCCGCTCGTGATTGGTGAGGGGCCGTCCGTTAGTCAGTAGTCATTCTCCGCCACGGTGCAACACTCAACCCGTCAATCAGACCGTCCCTTTTCATTCTTGCCTTCCTATCATCTTATCCTGCTCACTGCCGATCAGCTGCATCCTGAATTTTCATTCACATTCATCCTTTGATTCCATGATCTTCATTTTTCTTTTTTCATTTTATCTTTTCTTCCCATTTCCCCTCCATCCATTGACCTTGCTGTGTTCTCGTCCTCCCGTCTCCTACCGTGGCTAAGCCGCCTAGTAATGCGCATCCACCCGTCTGAGAACGCAGTAAGCAATGCCCCCGTTCCACGCAAAATTGTCTTCTGATTCGCTGGACCGCAGATAACGATAATGGGGCCGAGTCCCACGCACCACGAGTCCAACTTGTCTGAAATGACGATGGGCCCGTTTGACATCTCAAAAGCTCGGACGAACCACCCTATCCTGCGAAAACTTATTGCCTAAACTCCATTAACGGGATTTCTCTGGGGTTCTGAGCTACTAATAATAGACCCTTGAACAATTCTACGTAATTGCACATGCGTAACGACTAACGAACAAACCACCTTGCAACGCACTTTCGCACACTTCGCAAGCCCAGGTGGAACGTCCCGTCTGACCCCATCTCCCGTCCAGGTACAATCTGGTTTTTCCTAAGCCTATCTGGTCACTCGTGCCGCAGACTTGTTTTAGCCAAGGACCGGTTGGAGTTTAGAATCAACCACCGCGGGGAGAGAAATTCGGATCCCCGAAGCATACCCACATAAAACAGACAAGCGAGATTTCAACGGACTAGGACCCACGGAAGAAGCCATTGCATTCTGCCTAAGGGCACGCCGTAGGGATTTTCACATGAACCAGACAATACGTCAGGGGATTACTCCGACAAACGGCTGACCGGGACACATT